TAAAGATTTGGCGTTTCAGTTTGATCGACATTATACTTCAATTTACAAATAAATTAGAAATAAAATATTCTGAAATCACTGAAATCAATGGTTTTGGTCTGAAAAATGGATTCATATTTTCCAAAAGTAATTTGACATTTTAACTTTTCATTGCTATTTATGGACAATATTTTCAGAATCCCAGCAATACTGATGGGACAAAGCCCTCAAATTTCTGCTCAAACTTAATACAACTTCATTCACCAACAAACATCACACACACAAGAAATTAAGATGAAAGACACCACCCATCCAAGAACAGGAGGTCTCCAGGGACTTTGCTAGACAGATTTTCCCAGCAGCATGTGACACCTCCTGTTACAGCCCTTATGAACCACCTAGCAAAGGAGCTGAACTGGAGCTGGGTCCTCTCCCCAGCATCCTCCCAGGTCCTGGGCAGAGCTGTTTACCCTGTTTTACACCAGCTAGGAAGCACATATGGCAGCTGGGATTTTTGCAATTCCTTTCATTCAATCTATCGTCTCTGAACTGATTCATGCACTAGGGCTACAGGGAAAAAATACAGAAATTATCTGGGGACTGTACCAGCTTGGAGAGTTACAAAAAAATATCAGCTCCTTCTGCAGTTGAGAGAGCAGAGGAAAGAGAGCAGAAAAAGTGTGACTAACTGTTCCTGTATATACAGGAGACATGAACCAGAAAAGAAGCTGTGTTATTGTGGCTGGGGAGTTCATAGATCTGTGATTCACAGCATTACAGGGCCCATTTGGCATGCAAAAAGAGAGGATGATGAAAGGAATAGTTAGTCATGGAGACAAAGCTAGACAGAACACACAAAGATGCTACCCCCGGGAAAGGGAATACATTCAGGTGTGACCCACAGCCTGGGAAAGGGGATAAGGTTGTCTTTCCTTTATTGTCCTAAAATTCCTTCTTACTTTGGTCGGTAGAGTACTTGAAGGAGTGCCCTCCATCCCAGCCTTGTAAGAGCACCATGAGCTCCAGTGCACTGTTCAAGCCTATCTCAACCCAAGAGGATGGCACAATGTTCTTCAAGCTTTTGCTAAAACCAGAGAGCCATATTCTCTCATGACCATACTTTTTTCTGCTTTCACTTTAGAAACTATTATGTAAGGTAGCCAAAAGAAGAAAAAAGGACATCCCAGCTACGCTGTTAGAGTGCACAGCAGGCTACCCTCAGCATGTAATTGCTGAAATCACCAGTGTTGAAACGCTTGCAGATAGCGTTTCTGTTAAACTTTCACCTCCTTGAAAACAGTCATATTCGAAGTAGGGATGAAGGAGAAGGATTTGCCTTAGGGATCCCCTTGTCGACTCATGTGATTGCTGTTGAAAATGGTCTGGATCTAAAAGACCACAAAGGTGTTTGATGTTCTTCATATATCCTTCAGCAAAAGAACTGGGAGAACAGTCATTGCTCTTGTGTGTTTGCATTTTCAATAACACACATGAAACAAGCTATGCCCTGCCAGTTTGGAACAAGCTCTGTCCTGCCTTGATGTACCCATGTTGTGTCTCTTTTACCGGTGTGTGTGAAGAGAATGGGCAGGAAGGGGGTGAAATGACATTCGTAGGGGAGAAATAGGACTGGGGCTAGGGGGAGAAGATAAGAGGAAGATCAATGGAGAGGAGGAAGTGAACTGGTGGGTGAAAATAAGACACCTGACCCCCAAAAAGGAGGAAAAACTGATGAGATAGGGAAGGAAAAGGCAATGGAGACAAGCTCAAAAGACAGAGGTGAAGATGAAACTATGAACGTAGAAATCAAGTAGGCAGGCATGAAGAGAGAGATAACAAAGGAAGAAAAATAAGGTAAAATGCAAGGAAGATCAAGAAAAAAAATAAATTTACCCTCCTGCCAAGAAGGAGCTGAAAAGACAAACATGGCAGAAATCAGATTGGTAAGATGGCAGAAAACAAACCAAAGAGGAATCGTGGAAGACAGTAACACAAGCTGCATTTAATACCATTCATGGGGCAGAATTGTTTGTTATGCTGTTGCCCTGTGGTCCCTGTGACATGGACGGTGTCCGGCTTCAGAGCAGATCTCTGAGCAGCAAGGACAAGCAATGGGGAATGATGGCTACAACTGCGACTGCCAATCCCGTTTCCCGAGTGGCAGAATGATCCCATAGAAAAATCTGTGATAAAGCAGAGAAATGAACCTCAGTTTACTGTCTCCTTCATGCCAAGACAGCCTTCTGCCTCTCCTCTGCCATGTTTGACGGATGAATCCCTTCTCCACCTCTATCACTCACCTCCAGTTTGGACACTAGCCCAACCAAAATCTAGGAACATTGGGACAAGAGTGTGATAAACAATTCAGTCTGCTGCCACTGGTAATTTTTCCAGCACAGAGTACAGCCCCCTTTCTTCACTGTGAATAAATGCCTCCAAATTGTTTTGCTGCCTTTCTGCAAGGTTAGGACCACCAGCCAATCTGGGAACATAAACCCGAGCCATGAAATGGATTACGGCCAACCAGTGCAACCCAAAATAAGGAAAAAGCCAGTATAAAATTTTTAGAAAGTTTTCGCATCCACACAAGCAGCAAAAATGAGGGATGGCACCACTGGGAAACTGTGGCAATTCGTGGAACACTATCATCACAGTACTTACCATGGGTATCTTTACCACATCCATTAAAGCTCTTAAACACTGCTCGGAATCACAAGGCAACTCTGAGGCCCTGTGGTGTAGACAATGCTTGTTTATGGTACCCCGCAACAGTCATCCAGGGCTGCTAAACCACCCGCTCATGCTGTAGGCACACACTTGAACACACAAGCAATCTCACTGGTTTTAGAGGCACTTTTTATGCGATAACTAACTATTCGCCCAAGTGGGGGAGCTTATCAGCAGTTAAGGTAAAAATAAAAACCAAAACAGGAGTATCTTCTTCCACCTGAACCAAGAAAAGGTTTGGAGATGAATCTGCAGCCTCCTCCGGGTCCCACCAGTGTGCCTGTGTGCTCAGAAAGCAGCCACCTCTGCTGCCCCTGAGTGATTCAGAGCATCCACAAAGGAAAGAGCAAGCAAAATCAGCCAGAGTCTGTTGTTCTTTATGGCTTTTCTTACACCAATAAAGTTGAAATGCAAAGGGCAGGGTTTGGCATAAAAGCAGCAGGTAGATCTCACTGGTATATTATTATTTTTTACATCAGATTGGTCATGTTCATGCTCAACCATAACTTTCCTAACTGAAAAATTTCTGTTTCCTTTAAAATATGAGTTAATAATGATGAATCACAGGTAAGGATGATCCTAAATTAAAGAGGCACAGTACAAGGCTTTGCTGTAATGAAGGAAACTACTGTTACCTAGAGACACAGAACAGTCACATCTAATTTTGCATTCTGCACTTAGCCCAAACAAATACTAATTACGCTCCCCTTAGCCCCCTTGCGTGGTGCCATCCAGCACATGCCCACCAGAAACAATGAATACATACATCAAGTGAAGAGTAAGAGTAATTTCCTGTGGTTGTTTTACAAGCAAGAAATTAAACTGCGACTACCCTGCAGAGTTTAAACAATGTGCCTGTAATAAAACTGATGCTGTAGTATGTAATCAGAAGTCAAACAGAAAGTTCGACATGCTTAACGCAGCATTCATATGTAAAATGTCTGCAGTGGAAACAGCCCAGCCTTCTAATTTCAGTCTTTGTTCCAAAATGAAACCTCAGGCCAGGTGCCTCTGAACTCATGCCGAAGTCCCTGTCAAAGGACAGAGACAGAATTTCTCCATGGAAATGATGCAGAATTCAGACTGGCTCTGTGCAGGCAGAAACGCTCTGGAGCCCACCAGAAGACAGGCTCTGTTTAAGCCTGTTAGTAAGTGCGTAATTGCCACACGTGACTGCATGGGGAAATTTTGAAATCTATCTATCTATCCCAGTTATCCTGCCCATTCCTCCATTAACTAAACAACTCTACATGGTTCCTGTATGACAACATAGACATTTACCGCATCATTTGATGTAATCCTAATATTAGAAATATCCTACAGACATTCACCCACAGTTTCCCTAAATGAAAGCAGTCGGACAGAGTATGACCGCGCATTTTAACTCATCTTACTGGGTTGAAAACCCAGGATGGCCGCGCACTTGGATCTCAGTAAGATCTCAGGAAAGTGCAGGGGGTGACCCAGACAAGAGCCGGGGCTCCAGCTTTTGCAGTGAATCACCAGGCTGATGTGTGAGAGGGGAAGCACCATGGGGACAGGAGGGATGAGACAGCCCAGGAACAGGAGGCAGGTGGGGAAGCTGGAGAAGGGCTGTGAGGGAGGCAGAGGTTGGGGACCGGGACATCAGGAGCGGTGCAGGACAAGGCGGAGGCCAGAGGCAGCGAGAAGGAAGGACGGTGTGCCAGCAGGTGCAGGCCAGCGGGCAGAGCTGCCAGGGAGGAAGGAGCAGCAGGCAACGTGTGGGCTGGGTGAAGCTGTGAGGCAGCCGGGCAAGTGGGGCTAGCTGTCCCCCCAGAGCCAAGCCAGGAGCCCCACGCTCAGTGGGCAGGGAGCTAGCAGCCACAGGCATCTGTCTGTGCCCATCTGAGGGCAGGATCAGGACTCCTACGTATGCATTCACTTCAGGATGAAGTCTATTAGCATTCGCCCAAGCCATTTGATAACATCTCAATTATTGAGAGTCTCCCTGATTAGGCAGTGAGGAGTCCAGGCTCTGTACCACAACTGTCACCACAGTGTAAACATCAGAAAAGAAAGCAAGGCTTTCAAGGTTCAGAATAAAAGACTCAGTTTACAAGCTCATAAATTATTTGTATCTTTGACCGAAGGCTGCAAGCTTTGTTCAGGCCTGAAAGATATTAAGCAACTGCTTGAAAACCACCATTAACTAAAAAAAAAAAAAAAAGAAAGCAAGAAGAAAACCCCACATTCAGTATTCTGTAACAATTCTCTTGGAGTTTAATCTGCACACCATTACGGCAGATCACTGAATACCAAAAATGGATCGGTACCTGCTTTGTAAGTCGTTCAGGTGCAATTTGCCTACATAATGGGTGGCTGATGAGACAGTGATGATCCTAGCGTTGTGACTGTGCGTTCCTGATTGCTTCAGCGTATCCAAGAGGAGGTTAGTCAACAGGAAGTGTCCCAAGTAGTTCAAGCCGAAGTGCTCCTCAAACCCATCCTCTGTCTTCCTTTCGGGGACCAGCATCACCCCAGCTGGAGGAGAAAGTAGAGGTAAAACCTGTTGATTTATTTCAGAGAAGGAGCAAGCTAGAAGGAGCACGGATCTCCTGCTGCAGAGTATAAACACGGCATTTAGAGCAATGAGTGATTGGAGATGGCATGTAAAGTGTAAAGAGCTGAGAAATACGTCGAAACCCCCACATCAGCTCCTTCATCCAGAAAACAGGTAGGTTGACTCTCTCCCTCCCTCCCTGCAGGATTGTGAGGATAAATGAGTTCATTTGTGAAAAGTGTTTTGAAGACATTAAAAGTTGAATTAACCCATTGCTGCTGTGCCAGAATGCAACGCTGCAGATTCACAACAATAATGAATCCATCTACAGTAGGTGGGAGCTGGGTGATCCCAACAACATTCCCTCCATCAAAGAGCTCAGAGCAGTGGAGACAAGACCAGGCTAAGCAGCAGACCTGCTTTCCCAGACGGCTTTCTGCTGGGTCCTGGCTGGAGTTTAAAGATCTGTTGAGTCTTCGTCTGAAATCTGCAACTTCTGTCTCGCTGGTGTGGGTGAGAAAAGATGTAGTAAATTTACCCAATACATCTTAATTACTGTGCTTACAAGCAGCTGCATATTGAAATGAGTTTTTGAATGCTTATTTTGGCAATATTTTTGCATATATTTCTACAAACCACAATTTTCAAACTCAGTGCTTAAAATAAGTATCCACATCCCTAGCACACAATGTTGATTTCAGCATCCTGCAGAGAATCCTGAGCTCATGCATAAACAGAGGCCATGTGGGGGATAGCTATCTTGCTCATTTATGATGTGAAATTGAAAGCTATAAATTATTCTTATTTTATTAAAATTTAATTATAATACAAGTGGACTTGCCCTTTGTAATTTAAATGTAGATGGACGTGGCCCAAGGATAATAATGTTGCAGGCCATTTGACTTCTTTCTAAAATACATGGATAGGACACAGCAGAAAGGCCACCTCTGCTCACAGACATGAGACAGTGTCAGCTTCACCCTTGTGCTACTTCATGTGTCCATTAAAAAGCCTTTAACATTCAATTTCTTGACGTCAGCCCAATGATGGCATAGTACATTACCATTTTAAATTGCACATGCTGTGCATCTGCACCGTTCCTTCTTCAGGGAGGTCCCGCCACCTGACAGTCCTGCTTTGTTACTGCTGCTCAGGTTGAGGAGGAGATATTTTCAGGATCTTTTTAGCACAGCCAACACCCATGGCGATTCACCTATGGCTGCCTATTGCTTAATGGAGCAACTGGAGAAGCAGCGTGAGGGGAAGAAACGAGAGAAGACAAAAGAGCAAACAAAAGGTGTAACACAGCCTACCTGCATATGGAGACCTCAAGACTGAAGATGAGCAATGCTGGCTGATGGTATGATGAAAGAAACACAACACAAATTACACGACCAGGCTCTACAAAAGCTCTGACTGTCTCTCTGTCATTACAGGCACTCTCCCAGATCCCTCAGAATGACGTGAAAACCCAGCTGCCAGGTGTGGTTTCTCTGCACGTCAAATCTTAACTTTAACAACAGAAAGACACAATTTAGAGGGTGTCTTGTTGGGTGTCCTGTTGTATCCTCCTTCCTCAGCAGTGCTTCCTCTGATGCATGGTGCAACTGCTCAGAGTTGGGAACAGATTTCCATTTCCTCCATAATCTGCATATACGGCATATAATGACATCCGGAACAGCGGCCGGGACTCAACACTGGTGTGAAGGTTACGGGTAGACAGAAAAGTGAAACAAGTCCTTCTGCAACTTCTTGTTTTCAGGGAAGAAGGAAAGGGTGGGAAGGACAACAAACCCTGGGCTCCCCGACCAAGTCTCAGCCTGCTACTGTGCTAGTTTTAGCAGAGATGGGGCTTAGCACAAGTTGTTAGAGGGCAGATAGGAACAGCACCACATCTCTGAGCACATGGGCTGGTACAAGGAAACGATTTGCATCTCTCCAAGGCCCATCCTGCCCTCCAAAGCTCTGACACTTGGAAAAGGCAGGAGGAAGCAGTTTACTAGAGGTCTATCTGCAGCAACACCGGTAAAATGCAAGCCCAAGAAAAGGCAGCCAACATAAAACAACCCTGGCACAGAAAAGCTGATGTGAACCCCAAATGCTGCTTCTGCATCTGCCGGGGCTGCTGCAGGGCTATAGCCCCCTCCATGCACACGCACACCTCTGCCGGCCATGTCAGATGGGGAGGGGTGGAGGAATTTGTCTGCAGAGAAGTGCTGTAGATGGCTTTGCCTCACGCCCAGCAGGCAATCCCGGGGAGGCTGTCGCTGCTCTCATCAGCCCCAAGGACGCCTGTGCTACAGCATCTGCCCCCTCGACCTCCAGAGAGGCGCAGGATTTCAAGAGCACACAGGGGCTCTGCCCTCCACCCCAATTAGTCCCCACCATCTGTGCTGCACGTCCTGGAAGCAGAAAACGGATCTGAGTTCAGGTCAGGAGATGGAAAAAATTTACAGAGTCATGCAATGCACAACTGTTAAGATACACATTCCCAAAAATGATTTTTTTATTCTTCAAGAGCTTCCCCTGAGCAGAAATTATGGGCAAGTCCTTGAGCAGACACAATCACTTCTGCCTGCATTTGCTGCTACTACAATTCCCTTTTTGTCTTCAAGAGCTGGTCAAATAATATTAATCCAAAACAACTTTGAAAGATTTTCTTTTAAAGGCTCTCATCTTTGAGGTGGTTCATATCAAGGCTATTAAAAAAATCTTGCCCTGCAATTTGAGGGCAGTTTCTCTTATTTGAGTAGAAGCCATTTTAATTTACTGCAAAGGAATACCCAACAGGCAACTGAACCTGGCTGCTTCTCTGACAAAAGGGAACACCTTGTAAGTGTAGCTGCAAGCTCTCTTTTTTAAATTATTAACTACCTATCATTCAGTAGATACTAAAAGTGGCATCCTATTGATTTTCTTTTGTCCAGAAACGTCATCAGCTTTACTCAAGGGCCCCAAATGGTAACTCTAAGAATGAAAGCTGCTTCTATTTTTAATTCTTTCAATTAATCCAATACTATTTGAAACATTAAAAAATGCCTTTTTTTTTTTTTTTACCTTACCTCTTCACTGTAAACTAAGAACGATTTTGTTTATTCTTCTGGTACAGAATCCATACAACCTAGTATCTTTCTGATTTTAATTACGGATAGTCAGTCTTCTCAGTTTTTTGGAGTGCATATGAAGTTTGAAGTGGCAGACTATTAATGTCAAACACTTCAATTCTGATACAACTTTCTTATATGTTTTTTCCCTCTGATTTAGCTGGATTGTTTTCAGAAGATTTATTTTAAAAAATATCAATGTCAGCATGGCATTAGAAAATGAATTCATAAGTAAGCTGAACATGAGCTTTTACTGTGTAATTGATTAGCTGTTATTGAAATATTCAGGCAAAAGACTGACAGTATCCATGCAGAAAACTGTCTAAATCACACACTGATGTGTGATTTTGCAAGAGTTGAAATAAATTAGCATAAGGAAAATATTTTGCTGCATAACTGTGATGAACAACTGTTCTTCTTATATAGTAATACATTCCAATGTGCTGCAGTTATGTATTTGTTGTAATATGTTCAAATTATATGAATTTTAATTAGCCATACTGAATAAAAAAAATAATATCTATCTTTTTTTACTTTTGTGACTAGGCCATAGTCATATTTTTCTTTCAAAGAACAAATACACCTCAAGAGAACTGTCATTGTAGACAGTCATTTATCAAGACTTTCTATAAAAATTTCTAATTAAACTTTTGGTTTGGGATCCATCAATGAATTAGTCTTACGTGATTTTAAAAGCATAATGGATTTGATAGTGCACACAGCATAACCAAAAAGTTTATGACAGTTGTAAATATTACAGGCCAGGCATACCGTATTTTTATTGGATTATACAGGAACATTTGTACCATGCCTGCCTGTACTGCAGATGATGGTAAACATTGCTGCAATTCCTGTACCTCCTACTGCAAAGACATCCTTCAGCTCCATCATAAAATATGTTTTAAAAGCTTTAAAAATACAAGTATTTCACTCATCTAGATTTATTTACAGTGAGCTACTTGGAGGTTTTTAAAGGTGGTTCTCTCAAAGTCACCACAAAAGAAAGATTTAAAATCTCCTTTTCACATGCAGAACAAAATGTCTTCCCACCCCAGCCAGGCTCAGGGGAGAGCGTTTGGAGGCAGTGACCCCACATGCAAGTCCTTTTATACCCAGCAACCCAAAGGCTGGACAGACAACGCAAGAGGTCAGCCACATACACTTAGGTGTAACGCCTTCACAGCAGGAGGCGAACCTATATAATCACATTCACTCAATTCTTGCTATTTACAAGGAAGAGATACGTACTGTACCAGAAAAGTTCCCAAGGGGAAAAATTAATAGAGTCGTTAACTCCAAGTAAAAGCACAAAGCCTTTTCTCCATACAGGCTTTGTACTGGTGTAGCTGATTCATTTAGCAGCATTTTCCATCCCATGACTGCAGCCACAAGAGGTGACCCACCTCACTTAACAGAATGTCAAAACTGCTCTGCCCTGCACACCCCTACACCAAAACATGCATGAGTGGATCAATCTAGCTATAGAATAGTATAGCCCACCTCTCTCCTAAATAGGGACAGCTATAGGAGAGTGAACATCTCAATAACTGTATAGCAGCATCCCCTGGGTAGGCTGCCTATACTGGATTGCTCGTTCCACCTTGTTCATTTGGGTTATGCTATCCCAGAATACGCCTGTCCTGTGGATCTCTCCTGGCTAGTGAGCGACAAGAAGGTGGAATGCCTTATTAGAAGAATTGCCCCCAGAAGCACCTACTGGAGACACAACCATACCCACATAACTGCTTTTTACAGGTATGCCTCCTCTGGGCTGCAGAGAGGTGAATTTACAGCACTGCTGTGAAACACTGCTTGCTGAGGTAGGTCTGTAACACAGAGCCCAGTGCTACCAGTATCCCAGAAAAGCGTTGCAAGTC